CGTACAATGAGACAGAACAATAAACTTTATTCTGGGAGCAAGCAACTTCACCTGGTACAACACCTCTTCATATTGCTCATCATGCCAGCATTATCATGCCTTCACCACAAGATAAGATATACTTAAAAGCAAGAAGCAAAGTAGAGGTGCAACAGCTACAGATCCTTGGAGATGCTAAGTGTTGCAGTAACTTCTCTGCAGTTGGATCATATCAATAATGCCAAACTGACAGGAAGCCACCTCTCTTATCACGCATCTACTCAGAAACTATAGGAAGATAAGACTAAAACTTAAATACACATAACACATACAACATACACAACAGAACAGACATAGAAAATAGAGTTTGAAGAGTACAATGAAGACAGAAATTGAAATGTCTGGACAATGACAGCAGGTCTCCAAAGACCATCACTGACAGTCAGACAGACTGCTATAAGTAATGAGGGGGGAAAAAAAAAGCTGTTGGGGGAAGAGAGATGAGGAGAGACAAGGATATGAAAGAGCATGCCTTATCAACTTCCAAACCAATAGCAGCATGATAGAATGTAGACTAGAGAGGGACTCACAGCATGGTACACCAAAGAAAATGCAAAACATGCCATCTCAAAAAAACTACAAAGCTGAGAAAAAAATACATTCAGTAACATCTTAATAAATGAGTTAATAAATGTCATTAAAATGAATGTGACGTATAATCCATGGCACTTTCACTGGAACAGTACAAAAAAATTTAATGAGTACTGTATTATGAGTAACTGGACTCAAAACAGGACCAGAAATGCAAAGAATCAGGTATTTGGTTGCTGTTAATGGAAAATGAGACTGCAAGAGAACATGAACTACTGTACTGTAAGACGTGTTTTGAAGGAAGACTCTGGGGAAAGAAGGACATCAATGAAGGTGTGAATATGAACAACATGGCAGCACAAGGGCTGGTAAAGACGAAATATACATCGTCATGATACAGTCAAAATGAGGACAGGAGAGATTAACAGTGAAATCTGCTTTTCAAATGCAATGATCTGATACACCAATGACTCCACAAAGGGGAAAAAAAGCCTAAAAAATGAATCCTCTTTTATTTTGTACTTCCTGCAAAGAAGTTAGTGCGTGAGTCACAAGAAACACTGGAGAGACAAAATGCTGTTCTCTCTCTCCTCTTTGAGATTGGGGGCTCATATATAAATATATACACAGAGATATATATACACACACACATAGAGAGATGAATATGTATAGGTATATATGTGTGTGTATATACAGAGAAAGATAGACAAAGATGTTATCTTCCTGTGTTCTTGGCAAGGAATTAGTCCTGAAGTTAGAAGGAGTGAAGGTAGGATTGAGGTTGGAAGGAAAGGTAACGAAGAGGGCATACCGCTTTCGGCTTCTGCAAACGACAAGAAAAAAATTGCAAATCAAACACTTTGATAAGAAATCAACTGACACCAAAGCAAAAGCAAAAAAACCCTTTATTCAAAAGTCTTCAAGGCTTAAAGGTTTTTCTGCTGAGAATGAGAACAAATATATGGATAGACAAAGAGAAAATTTTACAAGTGGAGTATAAATGGGGAGCAGGAGGGAAGAATCCTGGTTAGGCTTTCCTTCTTGCTTAGTTATGTAGAATAAAAATACAGGGGGGAAAGGAAGGCAGACATCTCTCTAAAAGGGATTTCAGATGAGGAGTTTGAATGTCTGAATTTTGAACTGTTATTTTTTGCTATATATTTAACATTGGGATATTTTCAGGTTCATATTCTCCATGTTTCCTTTGCATTTTTCTACAAAAAAAGCAAAACCTCTCCAAATAAGCTAAGAACAAATTTTAAGTGATAGTATTTGGCTTGCATCAGGGAGACAAAAAATAATTTAAGTGCTTCCTGTTCTTAATCACGGGTTATAACATTCCCAGAAAGCAATTAGAGATGAAGGAATGGTTAACTCATATCGTGAGCTGGAGTTACTAGAGTGCAGACTTTAGTAGCTAGTCAGAAACTCTAAATTAAGTTTTGTAAAGTCAGAGATTTCTTTGATAGCTGAGAAATAATTTAAATATTATTAAATATATAAATGCAAAGGTGTGAAAGAAATCTAATCATAGGGTTTTTAATGAATCTTTAAGATACCTTGATGAGAAGCAGTTGCGTAAAACGATAAACATACTCTAGATACTCTATCCATGATATGAAAACTAATATATATTTATCATATTTATAACTATATTAATTATATTTAGGCTTGAATATCAGCTTTCAAGCAATTCTGTAAAATCATAATTGTTATTAATTACCTACCTAAACTGACAAAACTTGTTATCAAGGTGTGCTTTCTGTTTTGTGTAGCTTTATTAGTAGTCAGGAAAAATGAAGAAAAAACCATCTGCAGGCAGGAAGCTCAACTGCCACTAACATGTACAGCAATATTAGCTTGGATAGAGTTCTGATAATTTTTAATTACTATTGATTTCAAATTCCCTACAGTAAACAGAATTAGAGTATTAGATCTTCATGAAAGGGTGCCATCTACATAATGTTCTAAATTTTTAGCTATATTTAACATTGTTTCTCTAAATTTTAAATGATATAAAACTTGTTCCATAGTAGTTCTACAAAACACAAATGCAAAGTATAATTATAAAATAAATCAGCATGTATCTAGTTCTGTCACTCTCAAATGACTGAAAACTTGAATATCCATAGTCCGCTCCCACTTCTCCTTTATGAAGAATTACCAGGAAGAAATTTGGATATGAACAGAATAAAATATTTCCAATATCAGTATCAACAAACATAATTGACAAATGACAAATTTACATTGCTCAAAAAGGGCTTGTGCTTCTAAACTGTGTAATTCTAACTTTGATTTTAATTCTGCACCTTTTCATTTAATAAGATGCATGGAAACGCAAGTATACTTAGGAGGTGAGAAATTGAAGTTTTGTTGCATTACCTTTCTGGTTTGACTAAAAGATCAGAAAACCACAAATATCTAGTTAACATATTCGACTTGAAGAGCATGGGAACAAGTAGAAAAGTAATATGCTGCAGGTAGCTCTGTGACTGATCAAACAGTGACTATAAAATTGTCACTGGTTAATAAAATCAGCAGATATTGCTGTGGATCAGGGTTACAAGAAAATGTGACTATCTACCCTGTATATCTTCCTCTTGCTACATACATATTCAACAAATCTAGCTGTCAATATCTCTTTGTTAGTATTGCTTCCAGCAATTTTAGGCTCTTTTTTTCCCTACTATAATAATTATTGCAAGCTGTTACCTGTGTGGCTTTAAGTAAGAAATATATGATTGTATCTCACTGTTTTAGTTTTTGTGGGATCCTCTGCATCACCTTTTGATTAAGAACTCAATCCAACTTCCACTGAAGTTAATGCAAAGAATGATATGGAAGCCAAGAACAATCTGTTATTACTGTAAAAGACTGCAATATTAGCACTTATGTAAGTAAATGACAACTGAAGTAATGGCAACATAAAGCTGGCCAATATTTGTTAGGAGAAAAACAGAAACCAAATATTTCTTAATACTGAAGACACAAAATTTGGTAAATTTTTCCACTGCTGTTATTATTGTATTTTTCTTTTTTCGAGCAAAAGATTAAATTGTTCATAGACAGAAGAATAGATTGATTGTTTTGCATTAGCCAATGCAGAATGAGGTCTTTCAATGGAAAAGTAATTTAAGAGTCCAAAGAAGCTAAATACAGCATAAAAAATCTGATAGTAAAAAAAAAGGATTTCTTAATCAGCATAGTGTGATCAAAAATTATATCCAATAGTACATACACCACTTCACATTTCATTTAACAATATATGGAAGAATCCAGCAAAATCAACTATAGGGCATGGAAATGCTCCTAAATAGTTGCAACACTGCTTTTTCCATATCAAATTTCTAACACAGATTTTATAGATTTTTTTAATTAAGAAAAATTATGAAAGTTAATACTAAGTATTAAACTTTCAAAACCCCAGAAAATGTAGAATGAGTTCAATTGATAGAATTGGTTCTCCTGTGAGAAGAAGCAATTGTCCCCAAAAGTGCCCTTTGGCCACAAAAAGGTAATTAGTGGCCAAAAAGAAGATGAACTACTATGTATCTATTCAGGTCTACTAGAGCAGTACAAAATGTAATTGCAAAAGAGGAGAATCAAATTCCTCTCAGAGTTAGTATTGCCATATATTTTTATATGACACTCCAAGTGTTTCAGAGAACATTTACAATATTTTTGTTACATAAAAATGAATATTATTTAGAACATTAATGGACAAGGCGATGGAAGATTGACTCCAATGTTCAATCATGTTTCTATGAACCTTTGCACAAAAACAAAAATGCAAGAAACACTTCCCATCTGTGAATCTGTACTAAGAATAATGATTTTTTTTTCTTTTTGGTTAATGAAAATAGCCAGCCAATTGGTAATTTCAAGGCTAAATTAATCTTTTCCAGTTTCATTATGTTATTCATGTAAGTTTTGTCAGAACAGATACTTAAATTTTATTTAAATATTATGTTTACCCTATATTTGTTTATCCTGTAACATATCTAAATTGGTTCCCTCAAACTAATTTAAATGAAATTTGTATTTTGAAAACACACATAGCTATAATGAATTTTGATATCACATCTGTTTTCCATTTTTCTCTTTTCAGTAGTGTATGTTGGACGTCTTATTAAAAGTGATATGCTGTAAACACAAAAATTGTAAGCTTTTCCATAAATAAAATCACTCCTGAGATGAGACATATGTACTACTGCACTTTTTACTAAACATTCTGACATGGGTTACTTTTAGGGAGGAAGAGGGCAGAAATAATTCCCTTTCGGTCCTATGTGAAATGCTGCAATGCGATGGCATGCTAATTACATTCTGAAATGTTTCAAAGAATAGCTATGCTCATTCTGGAAAAAAAAGCAGGCAAAACTGCTGACAGTGCATTCCAGCACTCCCCAGGCTGGTGCCGTAGGCCGTACCTGCTCTCGCGCTTCTCCGACTTGTACTCTATGGCTATCATCAAGAGCTTCAGCTTCGCAAACACCAGCCTGCAGCAAGAGAAGAGGCCAGGAGTCAGTGCCTTTTCACAACCAACATCACATATGGGCAGGTGGCTGCTCCCACTGGCTGAGTGTCAATACAGAGATATGCTGGCCTCATCAGGAACATTTTGGGCTAGAGAGTGGTAGGCCTAGAACCTGGGAGAAGGTTAGCCTTACATTATTAAATATCAGGAGGCTCTGCACTAGTGGGAGACAGATTGGTTAAGTCATCTTCAATCAACATAATTCACACCTGGTCCAGCAATATCCAAGGGCATAGAATGTCAGGAACTACATTCACATATTCAAAATATATTGCTGGAATACGTTCACACAGTACACACACGTGGAGTTATAAATATAACTTGCAGACTGATATTAACTTCTGTTTCCGTCTAATTCTTCACCCTAGTGTTGACATCAGAAGCTGGAAATTCTTCAGCAATATTGAGTATCCCATCCTTACTGTCTCTGCACACTCTTTGTTATCCAGACTGTATGGCAGCCTATTTACAAAAGAATCACTTTCCTAGACTTGCATTTATGACAAATAACCTGAGAAAGCAGAACATTTCATTTAATTTCAGACTTTTAAAATGTCATTGACTGCATGAATTTTAAAAGTTATGCTACAAGACCTGTTCTCAAAGTCTGTATATTTCACAGGTGGCTGAATACACTAAGACTATCCGCTAATTCACTTTCCTCTTCACAAACCAATGCAATGGACATTTTGCTGTCCTTGTCCTTTGGTTTTTCTGGAAACTGAGCAGTCAATTCTTACATTAATGAGAATATCTATGCACTAAACTCATTAATTAAAGTGCTTGAGGAGACCTCTTTCTAAATCTCAATAAGCACCCTTTCTTTCTTGATTATTTTATCTCCATTCTACCAGCACAGATAAATGCATGTCAGCTTTGTGTCAAATACAGTCTCAGTCATATCTTCCTACAAACTCATATAGAAACTTGACACATTTACAAATGATTTGGTGTGGAGATTTAATTTTCATTACTGCAGCTAGTGTTAACACACTACTATCCATTCATTCAGCACATACTATTCATTCAGCACAAACTACTATTCATTCTGAATATAATACACTTTTCTGCATTATGTTGTGAGATTTCCGGTTTCAGTAAATCACAAACTTTAGTGCCTATATTAAAAAACTTTTCCCCTCAGTAAACTCAACAGAGTTTGGCTGACACAGTAGAAGGATCGATTGAAAACCCCTTAACTTTACCAGCAAATTGAAGACTGGGCTCTGTCATAGCTACATCCTAGACAATTTCTAAATGGATAATATTTGTCTAACAGTTGTCTCCCCCTCATTCTTGTGCCATGTTTTTGCTCCTGTTAAAATTGGGAAAGGTGGGGAAGTTAGAGGAGTAGCAGCATACTCATCCTTTACATAAGAGATTGTATTTTCCTTCTCCATCTATTTCCTCCTCTAAGAATGGAAGAAAGAGGAAATATGAGTGTGCTAAACTAACCTGATTATGGAGACAGAGTACTTATTATACAAACCTTTTGCATTCAAATCTCTCATTCACAGACTCATTCTAGGCTAAGCATTTTTCAATAGCCAGAAATGAAGCTTGCACTATGGTTATGTACTATGTGCTTCTTTCTCATAACTGAACAGACATATCTTTTCTCTCACATACTTTACTTGTTGCAAATGGTTTGCAACCACTTTTGTGGAGCTCTGGGTGCCACACTGCTTATATGACTGCATGACATGTGTTTAAATTAATGAATAGTTTCCTTGGAACAGAGCACAAGCCAAGATGGTCATGTTGACCACCACTACTCAAAGAATGGGAATCATAAGAAAAATAACCGGATAGTACTTGTGAGCAAATTACTCAATTTTAAAAGATTGTTGATGAGTTTGTTCAAGACAAAACATTTATGCTTTAATTTACAATCACTTAATTACAAATCTCTCCTGAAACCAGGCATTACAATGTTTCAGATTCTTCCATGCAGTGATTGCTTTAATGTTTATTTTATTAGACACCATCTGATGTAGCAACATTAGGACTTAAGAGTCCTCACATTAGAGTGAAAATGTCTCATGCAAAAAAATTAGATTTCTCTTACAAGAAGGTAAATATTTCTGCATATTAAATGTATTTCTACTTACTCACAAACTGCAGGGAAGGACAAACCCACAAAGGCACTAGACAGATATTCTGTATACATTTCATTTGCAACTCCTTCCAGGTAGTATTTCTGCCACGTATCCTCCTCAATCTAAACCCAAAGAAACAGATGCAGAGTTGTGAGTAAAAACCACAGCTTTCTTTTAAATTTAAAAACAACTGCTAAAACATGAATCAGATTTTAACACATAAATCAGTACACTGCTATGGCAATTAACATCACTTGTTTGTAAGGGATTTTCTAGAATGCTGAAAAAAAACCCAAAACAGAGTCTCTGTAGTCAGTAAATCAAATATGATATGAAAAAATAATATACTGAATTCTTGTCAAGCACACTGAGCATGGGGTGAAATAAAGTTGTAGAGAGCATGAGGAAAAAAGTTTCCTTGTTTTCTCTTTTTAAAAATAGTAGAATCACAAAATGCTAAGGGTTGGAAAGGACCTCAAAGATCACCTTCCTGCCATGGGGAGGACAGCTCTCACTAGACCAGGTTGCTTAAGGCCTTATCCAACCTGGCCTTGAACGCTGCCCAAGCTGGGGCATCCACAAACTCCCTGGGCAACGTATTCCAGTGTTAAACTACTTTCACAGTAAAGAATTTCTTCCAAATATCTAGCCTAAATTTCTCCTCTAAGTTTTTACCTACTACTCCTTGTCCTGTCACTACTGTTCATAACAATGAATGCCCCCTCTGGCTTCTCTGCAGCCCCCTTCAGATACTGGAAGGTTGCTACAAGGTCTCCACACAGCCCTCTCTTACCCAGGCTGAACAGCTCCTACCTCAGGGGAGGTATGGGATATCAGGAAAAGTCTCTTCACCAGAGGGTGTTTGGGCACTGGAACAGCTCCCCATGGCAGTGGTCACAGCACCAAGGCTGACAGAGCTCAAGCAGTGTTTGGAGAATGCTCTCAGGCACAGGGTGTGACTCTTGGGGTGTCCTGTGCAAGGTCGGGAGTCAGACTCAATGATCCTTGTCAGTCCCTTCAAACTCAAGATATTCTGTGATTCTATGATTCTCTTGGACCAAAAAATTTCAGGTTTTCAAATTCCAGCATTCCAGGAATATTCTAACAGGACTTAATATAGTATTTTAGATAAGTTTGTGTTTTTATTCCACGGGCTGATTATTAATTTGGGATTCGTCAGTCTTTCTCTCATGTTGAACAAGCCAAAAGGCACTCTTTCAAACTCTTTCCAAAAAAATGCTCTAAAGAACAGGAGGACGGAAACTTGTTAAGAAACCTGGTGAAATGTAAGTTACAATGATTTTTTCCTCCTTTTTTTTTGTTTTGCTTGGGGTGTTTTTGTAGGGTTTAGGATTTTTTTTATTTGTTTGGGTTTTGCCTTTTTTGTTTGATTGTTTTGGTTTTTTGTTGTTGTTTTATTCCCTCCTCCTGTTGACAGGCTGCCAAGTAATCAGTTACTTTAGTTCTGGAGATGTAAACCACTGAAAGAATAAATTGCAATATGGAGATGTTCCAAATCTTATACAGCCTGACAAGTGGGCTGCAAACAATCAGGAGAAATTTCTTCCACAGAAATTGTTTCATCATTCAGAGGCCATGTGGGATGGTAAAAGGGATTTGCATTGTGTAATTCCCCACCACACACAGAGAAACCATATCACATTTTTTATGACCCTTTTATTTATAGGAAGCTTGCAAATGTTGCTGATCAGCAACTCTATATACAGAAGAGAGATAAAGTCCAGGCTTGGTAAAAAACTAAGACTAATGATAGCAAGGGCATGTTTCTAACTTTTGGTCTATTTTGTGGCTGTTTCTTACATTGACACCACCTGGGGTTGGAAAAAAATATACAAATACATCACATATCTCCCTTTTGACTTTCTTTCCTTGCTTTCTTTTCTTTAGGCAGACGATTTTGATTTAGAGGAAGGAACTCCAGATCAGTCTGTAGTTAAATACTCACCCTGAGTCAAGGACCAAGAAAGGACTGGAAAAACCCAAACATTCCCAAAGCAATTATCAACCTCCATAGATACCAGTTAGTGTTACATTAAACTTTGTTAAGTGACTGGAAAGTTTAAGATATGATCTGTTAGGATACCACAAAATGTTGATTATAGAATTCAAAGAATTGCTGATATTAGGGATGCTATAAAATATTATTATAAGATGATTGCAAGAGTTGACTAAGATGACCTTTCTGTTTTATCTCCACCTGAACCATGACATTTTCCCAGTGATTTCAAAGAGACAGATGGTCACCTGCCTGGTATCTTTCATGAGGAAAAACATTTTAGGAGTCATTATGCTCTTCACTACTTTAAGCCTTTGTGATGATATTTGAAAGTTTAGGTAACTGATGGAACCTATCCAGAATGGGCCATACTACTAAAACAACCTCTATCTTTCTGATTCCTCTCTAGTACTGCAAATATTATTATCTCTCCCTAAGTCACGCTGCAATTCTGTCTCCTGAAAGTCATAAAAAAAATTAGCCACTGTTTCAATTAGCCACTTCTTCAATATGAAGAATAGCTGGAAAATTACACAGTGCAATCCAAAAGAAGAAATGTAATTTTCATCTGAATCTCTTTTTAAGTCACGATACTCTTCTTCTCTCCTCTATCTTATATATAGATACAATATTGTTACCAGCAAATATATTTACATAATACAATCAATTCCTAGTGAGACATGGTGACAGAGATATGAAAAAGTGATGTAGCTCTTGCAAGCACAGCCATTAGTATTGTCAGAAGAAAATGAAAACCTTTAATACATCCAGCCCTATACCCAGCACTGTAATTATCAGGAGCTCTGTAGCTCCAAAAGAACTCTTGCTCATAGCATTTGCTTTTCAGTGTAATGATGGGTACATGAAAGACTGAGTGTATCTGAACCTGATCATGCTATATAATCTCTTCTGCCAAGATCTAAGCATCACTATCAAGACAGAGAACAAATGCTGAGTTGCATTGTGACCTAGGATTATTCATTGCTATTTGCAAGGCAAAGGATGGTGGATATCCAGCTCCTTTATAGCACAGTGAAAGGAGCAGACTTTACATCTCCTGAGAGAAAAGTAACTGGCTGAAAGCAGTTCTTGTGGTCATATCATAGAGTGAAGCTTCATAGATTTACAGTCTTATAATTGCATTTCCTTAATTATTATAAATTATCAACTACTTATTTACTCAATTCCATTGTCGAAATCAAGGCTAACAAATATCCTTTGTACTATGAACACTTTACAATCTCAGTCAACTATTTCTACAGCTTTCCGTATGCACAGATGATTTTTAAAATTTGTATAAAAAGACTGTATTTTATAAAACATCAAATATGCTAATTGAGATTAGTTCTAATTTCAAATGAGATTTATGCACTTTTCCCCATCAGTACTAATGTAGAATTTTGTAGTGGGTCAAGGCAGAGAGAGTATCCTTGAAATAGAATGACATGTTACTCTTTTTTAGATTCTGGCCTTGTTGGATTTGAACTGAAAGGCGTACAGGCTCTACTTCTAATAGTTTCAAATATAAAAAACAGGGCAAGATTTCTATCCAATCATGAGGCAAAGGATAGACAGGTGTTGATCTGTTTAAATGATTGACTGAAAATTCAGTCCCACGATAGCCTTTAGCCCAAGACAAATACACTCTTATCAAAGGACTGTATGTATACACAGCAAACAGTTTTAAACCACAATAGGTTTTAATTCCTAGAATCAATGATTTTAAATCACTACAGTCAGGAAGATCTTTACATGATCTCTGAAGATAAATGTGTTTGGTAACAGGCCACATTTAATATTTGATCTAGGTCCTGTGAGCAGGATCATGTAATCAGTTTATTATGCAGCTTCCTGAAGAGCCTCACAGTAAATTTAAACATTGCATTTCCTCCTCACTCCCCTTTTAAAGCCCTCCCACATGTCAAGGAATTCACTGTTCATTTTCCAGTTCTACACTTAGAAATATTCCAAGGCTGCCTAGGTGGTCAAAAACAAAGAGCAAACAAGTTGATGTGTTCCATCAGTGTAGGTAAGCATCCAGCTGATATAAATCTGTGATCTGTGTGGTTTTATTATGTCTTTCAGCCTGGACGAAAAAACTAACATAAAGTGGGCATTGCATACGTGTAGGTGTGAGCAAAAGCTGCTGAAAGAGCCCACAAAACACTCCTGCTCTCAAAATAGCTTAGAGGATAATAGAGACAGCTCTAGATAATTCTGATATTTGGAATGAGGTGGATGGGCTGCCTTACCTATAGAGCAAAGACAAAACTAATTTGGCTGTGGACTTGTGTTACACTCGAGTACCGCATTCCACATTTTATTAATTTACACAACAATACTAACTTGGCTTGTAGGTTGTAGATGGGCCTGTAGGATTGGCCTGTACAAAATTTAATCACTTCTGCCTATTACTCCATGTATCTGGTTTTTGCAATGTTTTTCATATAGACAGACTTCTGGTATGCACTTGCTAATTCAAACAATACAGAATTTGCAGTACAGTATTTCCATCTTTTTCTCAGACTATGCAAGTTAATAAAGAGTCCAAATTCCTTTTTTAATACAACAGTAACAGTCTATGTTATAAGAAGACTGGATTATTAAAATGAAGTTTACAGGTGTAATGTTTTGTGGGTTTTTTTCCCTTTAGCATATAGTTTGGTGCAATCTATCTGTCTTTAAATGTTTACAGAATATTAATCTTTTCGAGCTGATTTCCTTTTTGTTCAGTTTGGTGCCAAAAAGAATATAAAGGATTCCATATGATCTTACAATGCTAAAACCAAAAGGAAAATATTAGAAACAAATATAATATTTTGAGGTTTCTTAGTTTGTTTTACTTCTAACACTGAGCAGACTGTTTACACAAATAATTTTGCTGTAAAGTAACACATAATGAGTTAAATGTGTGCAATGTCACCATCAATCATGTTCATTTGTGTTTGACTGACCAAACATTTATGGCACATTAAATCACTTTCTAATCACGCCATGGAGGCGGAACAAACCCACATTTCAAGCTTTCATTAAAAAATACAGAAGTTTCCATACATTTTCCTGGCAATCTCGTGACTGGTGAGAGACTCCACTAATAATGTTTACCTAAGGAATTTATGAAGGTCTGACAGTACTTAAATTGAAAGTTCTTAATGAAATGGGATGAAAGTTATTTTAGGGAATGGACATATTTCTCTTCACTAGAGTCCTCTTCAGCATTTCTAATCAATGTAGCTGCCCTCCTACAATGCACTGATGATTCACAGCCACTATTTAATAAGTTTTCTTTTTCAAGTTTTTAGAGTGAGACAGACATGAGAAAGATCATCCTTTTAGCTAAATAAACAAACCTTTAGTTATCACCAATAAGATTAGAGTCACATAAAGAAATGTGTCCCAATTCTTGTACATTTATTTGGCTTTAGATTTTGAATTAGTCAGAGATCTTTGGAAGCATAGACGTGCATTTCACTTGCCTAGAAAATTCACTCTTAATTATGTGGCAAAAATATTTTTAACTAGGATTAACAGAGCATTGCAATCTTAATGCACTCTCTTATGGTGTTTTTCCTCCCAGTACCATGTGAAGTTGACATCTGAAGTCATACAAGTTATCTCTGCACACTACTCTGTTTATAACTGTATATAATCAGACACACAAGAAAAACTGACAACGACAGCTTCCCCCAAATCAAATTTATTGCTATTTTTATGCTTATTCTGTCTACAAAGAAATACTCAAATGGAATTTGAGTAACACCTTGGAAAGCTGAGCCTTCAGCTTAAAACTGTTCATCTAATGAGATCTAATCTGTAACTGTACCGGAACTACTATAAACGTATTATAAAATAAGAAAACATATCTGGCTAAGATAATGGCAGAAGTGGTTAGATATAACTTCTGGAAACATGGTATCTGCATATATCCAAGATTTGACGTCTTTAAATGTTTTTAGATAAAAATCCAGGCCATTAATGTGTGTATTTCTAGTACAGTTCCCCCACAGTCAGACATTTGTACACTTCATCATTTTGTGAATCTCTCAATTTTCTCGCTGGTTTTTAAAATCAGTATTAAAATAGCTTGAATTAAGACTGAGACTTTGAGGATACCCATATATTTGGATCTCCTTAGGAGAAAACTGACCCCTTCTGATTTTGGAAAGACAGAAGGTGAGCAAACTTTTCACATGAACTCTGCTGCAGAGCTCGAGTTCATACAAGAGGCTGCCTCAGTAATTTGCATACATCAGTGTGACTGTCACAAATGTTTGACACTCCTGAGAGTCTTGGGTTACCACAGCAGGCAGGAGTGAGAGAGATCAGACTGGCAAGGAGAATGATGCTCATGAGAGATACAGTTTTCTTCTGGGATACAGATAGAAAGGATTAATATCCAATTGGAAATATGTTGAAGAGCCACAGACAGATTCCAGGTTTGCTGAAGTAAAACAACTTTTTTGTTTCTTTCTTTCAGTTGGGTTCTTTTAGAACATGAATAAAGATGAAGATATTCTAACTGCAGGCAGTAAAATGCAGAGCCCAGACCTGTTTCCATATTTAAAACTGGTCTTTTTAATTAAATGTAATAGTATAAAATATTTTTTCATGGGAGCCTGCTGTCTTCTAAGGATACCTTCATAATAATGTCAGGATTTTATAAGAAGCAAATAAAGATTCCCTGTCCGGCACCAACATATGCACCTCTAAGAGAACAGTCCTGGCTTTCTAATCTGAGGACATGAGAGTATTTTTATTTTTAGCTTATTTGCACAATGGAGTTGAAGTGGACCATGGCCTACCTTTCACTTCAGTGTTTCCCATCCCACTAAGAACACTCATCAGACTGGAAACTGCCCACCCGTTATGCTTGGAATCAGTGTCCCTGAAATGCACCAGGAAGGATGCAATGATTGCTGCAATTGAGGCCCTTGTCCAGTGAACAAGTACAGCTGCCACAGAAGTCTAACTGGGTTATAATTTTGCAATCTAAGTCCAAAAGAGCGCTCAGACTGAGGAGGAACAAACACGTGAATGATGTGGTGGGAAGTTTGGGCCTCAGTTCTAACATATGCTCCTTATTTACTCACAGTCAGAGGTCCAGTAGTCTTTTGATGTCAAAGACGAAAATGACCAGTCCCTTTTTCCTGGAAATTTGTTGCTACGTGGCACTTAGATAAATCATATTTTTTGTTTTAGCAGCAGCAGCTTTTCTAATAGACAACCATGTGGTTTGTCTAAAATCAAGCAAAAACATAAAATGCCAAAAATATCTCCCTGGAAATGGATGATGATTTGGAAAATACTTTAAAGGCCAGACACTTGCTGAATAAAAATTAAAAAACAAACCCCACAAGTTGATAGAACCTAGTTTATTGCCCAGTTTTCAGCAAAAAATTTGCATGGAACTGTGTGATGGTTGTTTTGGTGTTACAAAATCTGTTATTGTCTTTCTATCTGTTTCACATTTGAGTCATGTTCTCTACTCCAGTCTCTGACAAGCTGAATTGCAGACTAATACGTTCTAATGAGGAAGGCATTACCTTTATGAATGACCTCATAGAGAAGAGGTTGGCTAACATTGTGGAAAGGCCCGGTGCCAGGCAGCTCTGGGCTATGAAACCCAGCTTCAGCTCAGCAAGACAGATTGCATCATCCCCTTCTTTCCAGTTCCAGCTTGGGATATTTAGTAGATGGGCCTGGAAAACAAACAAACAAAACATCTCACAGGTTAAGAATCAGAAACAGAAGACAATTCTGAATGATTTTCTCTATTAATACCTTGGATTTTTTCTGAGTAGACAGAAGCACTTTAAGGGTTTCAGAGCTTAATTCTATGCTGAGCAATTTTCCACTCTTACCCACTACAGATAAAATGCGACACTTCTCAAGACATGCTGGCTGTGGCACTCTGTCAGGTCCATGCTCACACCTGAACAAGCAGAATTGTTGTAAAGCTTTCCTTCCCTTCTGCATGTTCCTTTCACAGCACTTTGAGCTACCATCTGACTGATGAGGAACACACATAATACACAGGAAGCTAATACAACTTAGATTACAGCTTATGGGAGGCTGCAACCTTTAAAGGATACTGGAATTTTAAAATGTATACAACATCTTCTGTCTTTTCTATTTCATTTCTTCCACCTTGAAGAACAGTACTTGTGAAAAACCAACCCCTTTTTGACAGTGAAAAACCAACCCTTTGTTTCTAAGAATGCTATTTACAAGGACAGAATGAAGAAAATAACTGAGCAAGACACACCTGCTGTACTGAAACTGCAAACTTAGATAAGTACAAATATTGTTCAGTTACAGGTATAACTGTTGGATTTTATCTGACATGAAACTTGTATGTTTGTGTAGATACAAGGAAGCACAGAGTCCTTCCTCCTTGTTCCCCTTCCTAAGTTAATTCCACAGTTCAGCATTTTGATTAAAGCTATTCTTGAAGACATAACCATTGGAATAGCAAACAAAGTGCAGTATTTAAAAACCAAAACTTCCCCTCTGTGACTGTTTAAAGCAGAGAAACTCCTTGCTTTTATTCTATAAAAAGACAGGCTTCTTCCATAACATGAAGGAAGAGCACATAACAAGCAACAGTAGTTGCTCTTGTTCTAGCAACGGGTTACAGGTATAAGGAGTTGTTATCAAACCTTCCTAGTGCCAGATTTATTGTGTATTTCATCAAATGAAGGTTTACCCAGTCATGCTTTTTCTCAAACACTGGGCAGTGAGTGATTCTTTCAGAGCTAATAAAAGAAGCAGGCCACACATGAGTACTGTGTTACCTGATATATCCTTCCTAACCCTGTTAGTCATCACTTTATGGACTTCCTCATCTCAGGATTGAATAAATTGACTTCATTGTGTTTAAGGGTCACAAATTTACCATAAAATTTTTTTTCAAATTTCTTTCCAAAGTGGATTTATCATTTTGAACTTGACAATATTCTTAGTACCAAATCTCACAACTGGGCTATGTTTTATATTAAAAACCACAGATTTATCTATTTTGTACCTACTGCTTGGCAATTTCAGGTCTACACGGTCAAGCTGGAATAAAAAAAAAAGACAATAACCTCCAGTAAGACAATAAGAGCAGAATTTAGAGAACTGAAGTGGTGAAAGGTCATCTGGAATCAGTAACAACTATGGACACTAGCTTTGAGAATTGGATCCTAGGCAACTCATAAATGTCAAGATTTTTATAAAGTCCCTTGCAAATATAAATAAAACTAAAACACTTTGTAACTGGATTACATGACAAGGTTTATTAAGATGTTTTAGTTTGAAAAGAAAATGCTTGCTGTTACTGAGACTAGAAAAATTATGTTTGAGTGAATGCAATGCAGCAAAAAACTCTGAGAAGAAACACTGGCCATCACATTACCTTATTGTGGTACTGCAACATCTGAGTGATAATTCTTATCTTCGGATGATAATTCTTTATGGAAATAACTCTAAAAAGAAAAGGAAAAACCTATTAAAATAACTTTTAATTGAAAGTTTATTTGGATAATGCATCCAAATACCTCTATTTTACCATGTTGTGAAGTCCCACAATTAAAACTGCACCCCCTTATTCATCTGCCTGTAAAGCAAACTGATTGATGTCAGACCTTTGAAATATTTACACATAGTCAAACTGAGGTAAAAATTAGTGGCTAGTGCCAGAGAGCAATAAGCCTCAGGAAATATTCAGTTGAACAGTTTGCCCTTATGGAGTTTGCAGAAAAAGAGACTTGTTTTAGCAGCACTATTCAGATACTCATTCCATTAGGAAAATAATGTAGTTGGAACTGTTACATCCTTCTCATCCTCAGGGACTATCTTCGTGCCTTTGAATCAACATACTTGATCAAGTTCCCAATGATAAACGCCTGACAAAATTAATTTCTACCCCATCACGTTTTATTTCTTTATAGCTGGTAGATACCCATCATATCTAAATACCTTGAATAATGATCTTGTGTTACACAGGAAAATTCATTAATTTTGATGGATTAATCCAAAGACCAATATAAAATTGATAACTGAATGCAGAATCTATAAAACATGGGGCTACTTTCATAATCTGCGCATTTTCCACATTCTAAGTTACTTAATGAATCCAAAATATACTCAACCGTGTATAGATTTTAAGTGGCTCGAAAGAAAATTGTTTGAGAAATGCATGGATTGATATTGTATTATAAAAAAAGAATTGAGCAAAATTAAGGAGATGAATAACCAAAAAAAAAAAAAGTCCTGTATTTAAAACCTAAAGGTAGAAAAAGAAGATGAAACAATGAAAAAAATATCTGACTTATTATGGAATCATCAGTTTCATAAGACTGAATGCCATAAATGTTTTCATTGGTGTTTTGTAGAATGTATCTTGTAAACTACTGGTCTGGCTTGTGCTTTTAAGCATATCAAAGCTAGAACAGGAAACATAAAAAAATTGCATTATTTTTACAAATCTTTCTTCTAATTTTCCATTTCTTGCTAAATTGTTCAATTAAACATTCAACTTTTAAAAATTAAATTGTGACAAAACACAAGAGAATTCCACACTCACATTAAAAATTTTTGCATTTTATTACATTAAATGTATTAAATCTACTAAGAATGCATCAATCTGTGACTGGAATATTTTTAATGTATTTATGCCATCAACGTCAAAACAAAGTTTCTTGTATTGCAACTCAAACCATGTTTCTAAAATGAAACTAGGTGTATTTTAGCCTTGTGTCTTTCTCAGATAGCTACATCTCTTGCACACAGTGGTAGTTTTCCCAGAAGAGCATTTTTTTATTTCTCCCCTTCCTCCAATACACAGCATGCAAACATCTGACAAGCCAGTAAAATCTAGAGAACAATACTAGAGAACTTTTAATCAATCACTGACTGAGATTTTAATTTTAAAAAGGAGACTGGTCTCATTAAAACTAGGGTTGTATGAACAAAACAAAAAATGGAATGGCTTAGGTTTGTTGTAACTCTAGCTGCCATCTACTGACTGACTGTTTAATCTTCTCCCTTCAGAGGCTACAAGAAGGAAAGCAGGAGGAGATCTGATGATCCCTAATGCTGTAAATGCCTTGTCAATCAAAGCAAGCAATGATTGGTCTTCAGCATAAAAAAACCAGGATGGGGACAGGAGAAAGTGCCCTGTATCTTTGTTATCCCCTGAGCAGTGCACTACTTGCAGGAGTAGCTCCACCACAGAGCAGCAGGAATGAAGCACTGAAGGTGCTTCTGCCCCATCACTGACACAGCCCCTGCAGTGCATGCACTCATGCGTGTATTGTTGCAACAACCTGACTGCATTCCCCTCCTCTCTGTGTTCAGCTAGAAATACTCAAACCCTAGCTCCTGCAAAATGACTAAGAGTGTCAAAGCCTCTGCTCCAAGTGTCTCTTCTGACACACTAAAGCAGACAAATGAAACAGCGGAGGTAGGAATTTAAGGTATTCTCACCTCTGGACTTTGGTGAGGATCTTTTATTTTGTCCTCAAAAAAAAAAAAAATCCTACAGTGTTCTTTGAGTGCAACAGATCAGATATAAAATTAGCTAATCAGAGTTAAGGACCAAAAAGGTATTAAAAACTGCAGAGTTTACCTCATAATATTGGAGGCATCTTCAGCATCTGGGTCAGCGCAGTATTTATTGGCAAGGATTAGGCACGCATCTGCTGACTCTATCTGAGACACCAAAGAAAAAGGAAACATATAAAGCAACATCTCTTTCCAGCTCTTCCTTTCTCATAACTCTCAGGGAATCCAGCACTGGCTGCATGAGTGTGAGTGCCAGTTCTCAATATTGCTAATCAAAAACGTTTCTAGGCTAATAGGAGTTCATGACAGTGATTACGACCATTCTCGTGCACACAGGTAATTTCTTGAAACTTGCTTATGATGGCCAGAGCAGGTCAGCAGTTCCACTGACAACTCTTACTCTGTATCAGCTGAGCCACAAAGGTGGTAATGTTAATCTTTTGTAACCAGATACTGGAATTTAGACTTTTAAATCCATCAGAAGTTCCTGTGGCACCAGTACAGTGCTCCCACAAGTCCCTGCAGCTTTGTTTGGGAATTTAAGTACCTTCTTATTCAAGACAGGAAGAGGTGGCTGAACTGATTTAGAATCTGAGCACTGGATTTAGAAAGCAAGAGGAGGACAACTGATCTACTCACAGCTCTAGATTCACACAAACCTGAGCTTTACAGAACTCAAAGCAGATGACAAAAGTATTTACCAGTGTATACAACCAAATATCAACACAAAGAAGGGTGGAATACAGAACACAAAATAAGAACACATGATTTTATGATCATAATTAGGACATGCTCTGATGAACTGAAACAGTGTGCATTAGCCTACAAAAATCTTAAGCTATTTCTGCAGTCAAAATGGACAAAAGACATGATTAGTATTCCAGAAAGTGTAAATTACATAGTACTAATAAAATATTCTTGACTTAAGTAGCCAGCTACATTCCATTGGGAAAAAAAGAAAAAGAAACGAAAAAGTTAATGATGTATCTGACAACCTGATTTTTCTTTAATGTTCTTTTTTTTTTAAGCTTCATACTATAAGAGAATGAAATAATTTACCATTTAGAAATTCTAGAAAATAAATATCTAAATAAGTAAAACTATCTAACTTTATCTACCAAAAATCTTAACTTGCATTTTTCTTTCTGGATTCTAGACAACAGAAAAAGGGTTTGGAGGGTGAAAAAATATTTTTAAATTGCTCTGAGAAGTTAAGACAACAGCACTTTAAGCAATTACTGTAAGACAATATCTTGCTATATCAAATATTAATGTAAAATACACTTTTGAATGAAACATCAATGAAAAATTCATAAAGTGTTCAATGGAATGGCAGACAATGTATCTTAAGTCACTGTTGCTGTAGCTTTGAAGATCTAAAGATATGGGGAAAAAAGGTTTACCAGTATAGATACTTAAGATAATAGAAATGGAAAAACATTCTTTTGGGGTTACATGAAGAAGGGCTTTAGTCTCTGGCTTTTTTTCCCAAATAATGCAAGGAGTACTTAGAAAAAGGTCAGTTAGCAGAACAGAACAACAGAGCTGTTACCTTCACTCTCGCCAGGTCATGGGGATTAAGGACTGAACCCTGATAAAATTCCACCTGAGTGAAGTGTCGTTTAAAAAGAGCTTCCAGCTCAAGGTTAGGGGAGATACTGCAGTGGAAAGAAGAAGAAAACACAAGTGCAAATGAGAGGTCAATTTCCATAACTGCTCCATTCCCGCATTTACAAACCCACCTCTTTATTTATTTTAGATATTCAGACTTCTGCTGATGCTTTTTCTGTGGCATGGAAACAGCGTTCCTTACTTAAAAGATGAACACTAAATTGCTTTCACTGCCTTATTTGTATCTGCAGTGCTCCTGGCCCGCCCTGTGCTACTCTCCACGTTCACTGCGCATACATTTCCAAGGGATGTGAATCCAGAAATATGGGTGCAAGCATTTGAAAACATCCTCTCCCCCAGCATTCTACCCAGAAATTATATAGTACCACAATCATCCTCTGCATGTTCCTACCATTCCCACAACAGCTGGCTGTGTTGAATAGAACAACTCAATGCAAGATCTCTAAAAATCAGAAAAAGAAACCAGACAGGGACCCTGAGGCCTCTATGAGCTACAATTAAAACAAACATAATAATGCTGTGACTTTCTGTCTCATTTTATTTTGCCAGAAACAAAAGAAAAATTAAATTGATTACAGTCAATTACATAACGTGGCACCAACCTTGTAAATATTTTCCCAGTGCCACTCATTAAAACAGAAGGAATTTAATAGCTACAGGCACAAACAAGCAGCAAGGTGCTAAACTCATTTCATGTGAATGTGCAGTTTCCTGATTCCTATCACCACACATTTTCACTGTGAAAAACTTGATCCTTGATTTCCTCTCACAGTCACTTGTTGTTACATGGAGAGGAAATAAAATAAAATAAGGTAGTTACTTGAGGATGTCATCTCTAGTTCAAATTGAAAGGACTAGATGAAAAATTGTGGACGTACTGCTGATGCTTAGTTTTCAGCTTTCACTCACAAATTATATCCTTAACATTTTAATCATTTTCTCTGACAACAAGTGCAGAATGCATTTTTGAATGCAAAAAAAAGAATATTTATAAGTTGAAACTCTTCTAAACAGACGCCATTACAGAACAGAAAAGATACTGTCTCCTATCATGTGGCTTTTTCAAGCAGTTCCTCCCAGGCATGGCTATTTGGCAGTGTAATAGTTATTAAATTATTATTAACTTACACATCATGTAGAGCATGAAAGAAACATCAACCTCATTAAGACACCTTTCCAAATTCCACATAAGAAAGAGACAAGATACTATGTGTGTGTTGGTATGTGTCTATTAATGGAATAAAAAGCAGTACTGATTATCACCACGACAAGAATTTAGTTTCTATTGTCAATACATGTGTAGAGTATCTGTTATATTAAAACTGAATCTGCACCTACATTTTTCATTCTATAAATACTCTGGACTTTAAAATAAGCACTTTCCTATAGAGATCCAGGGTGAAAAGGTGTTTTCAGATACCATAAGTTTGTACAACATACAGTGTTTTTCATTAGTTTTACTGATATAACTATCAGGATTTTGGCAGTTTCCCTAGGAATATTTACCACTAAAACAATCTTGGATGTATTTATTTCCATTTCAATATTTTTTATTTCATAACCTGATCCCCACTTCAACTATGCATTTAGCTATGTAGCTCACAGACAACGGAATGGGTCTGAAGTCTGTCTGCTTGAAACAAATATGCTTAGTACAGGGTTATGGAAAATGCATGAAAAAAACCCCTTTTCTCAAGACGTATTTTTAATAAACATAAATGCAAATATTAATCTTATGGTTATTTGGTACTTTAAATATTGTCTGTCTTCCCAGCTTAACCTAATAAGTTTTAGTAAGAGATGATAAGACCAATGTTGAAAGATTACTCACTTATGCAGAAAGACGATTTCTACATTGACATCATCCCTATCCTTGTGCAGGAAGTCCTTCAGGAAGTTCGACACACTTTCAAGTGTTATGTGACCACAGACAACTATGTGCCTGTTACAGAAAAATCAGAGTTAATCTTGCAAAGAAGCTAAAACAAGCAAGCAAGCACAGATGGAAATGATAACTTATTGAGAAAAAAGAGCATTAGTCTCTTCTTGATGTTTCTCTAGATCCTATTCCACGATGTCAGAGAAGAAAAATACAAATTACAAAAGGTTTTTTTGCAACTGCAAATACATCCATGTACACACTATCACCTGTAAAGCCATTTGCCCAGGTTGTATAACACATTTAACAATAAGTAGGATCAGTTATATATATGTTTATGCACTGTATTAACCAGTCCCTTTCAAAGTCATATTTCCTCATTTTACACATCTTACTCAATATTTTTAACTCCTCTAATGCGATTTACCCTTTAAATTTTTGGGTTACGACAGTAAATCTCCCTAAAATGATTCAATATTTTTCTATAATTGAAGCAAACTTTTCTGCCAAGGAAGGTAGTGCAAAGCTTTCCAATTACAGGCCATAAGTGGCAAGAAATCTTTATCCTACCCTAAATCCTAGAAGGAGAGTACTTTACAACAAAAAGTCATTGTTTACTATTATCACTTTTTTGGCAGAGCAGAGTGTGTTAAACATTTATTTTGAAATATGATAACTCCTTTTACATGAGTACTTAGACATCACCAGGACTCAAATGCAATTTTAGAAATAGCAACAATCTAAAATTTCAATTGTTTCACTTGATTTAACAGGCAAGAAATAGAAGTTTACAAGAGACTCTGGCCACACTAGTTTGTATTTAACATAGGACTCGATACATGAATGTTTATTGCTAAACTTGCTATTCATAGTTTCTGCTTTGCTTTTTTTTTTTTTAACATAAATTTTAGCTGCAATAAATGTCCTTGGACTGCAAATGCAAAAACCACAAAAACAGAAGTTAAAACTTTTCCATTTTACGAGATGGTAAGCACAGTATCAGAAAACAAGACATAAAATATATCAGGTCAGGCTTTCTCCTTTGGCCAAGGGATGCTCTGGAGGTTCCTCTGGAAGCTGTGCAGCTTGGCAGGGTTTGCAGTATGCTGGGTACAGGGGAGAACCACACCTGCACTGCCCCCACCAGGACTCTGCCCCTGCTTCCCTGATGGTCACTTGTCCAAGCTGCCAGAGGTGTACAGGTATGGCTTAGTGCATTGTTACACATAAAGCAGCAATGGAAAACCTCAGGAAGCTTCAGATTCTGAAGAGATATTTAAAACCTTAGTAGTTTACTTGATGTGAACTCTGAACAGACTGTTTGGTACACTACATTACACTAACATATAGGCAGGTTCTTTCTGTCTGGTGGTATGCCAGACTTCTCCTGGCTATAAACCCATATAGCATCAAAAACTCACCAACTCCCAGGGAAATTATAAATAGCAGCTAAAAATAATAATTTGTATTCCTCATACTGTCTGTGCATGTTTTCCAAGATGACTGGTTTTAAACTACGGGTATTATTTTCTTCAAATGTCTCCAACTATTACTAATTAAGAAATTGAACTTTCCATCTGGATAGCTTACAGCTTTTGATAGCAGAAATAATTCCTGATTGTAGGGGAGGTTCTTTGTAGAGATCCAGTGCTTTTAGCTTTAGCTGGGTCTCTTACTGAATGCTCTCCTGATACACTGCATTCCTATGGAGAAAATTTAATACTCCCCTGGCTGATTTCACTTAATACGGGTTCTTTTCTGTCATTAGAGTCCACATTTTAAAAGTATGGCTGTGCAACTCAAAATATTGTATAGCAGAAGAAATTATCAATCAGAGTATCAAAAGATTACAAGGTAATTCATGCCCTCAGATACCTCCAGAGGGTATTTGCTACAAAAAGTTCCTGCTACAAGCAGATGCATTTGGTACAATCCTGTTATGACGCTCAATGAGTAGGGACTCACAGCAATCTGCTCCAGGGAAAAGAAAACATTTGGCTGCCAAAAACTCTTGCATTTGGGTATCAAGACTAATTGTTTTTGGAGTGTTAAAAGGCATCTGCACTGTGGTTCCCTTTTATACTCTGATTTGGAGATGGACACAATCTATTCTTCTCTTCTTTGCTATTCTTATAGAGATGGGGCAGTGTCCTGAACAGTGACTGCAACAAAACCTCCCGGATTTCAAAGAATATTTTCTGATAAGATACTTGCATTAATTTTTGGTTGAAAACTCCCATCAAAAAAATCCTCCTTTAACGTAAGTCATAGTTTTGCTTAGAAGTAAAAGAAATTGAAAACAGATTTCCTACTTGCCCATAGAGAGTTATTAGGTATATTATTTAAGAAAACTTGAAGAGTTTATATTGGAACTTATAATGTTCCAATCTGTCCTGTATATGATTTGAAGATTTATAACTTCCTCTGTTTGTTTTAGTAACCATTGTATTCACTTTTTAATTTTTTTAAACACATTTTTTTCATGCATTGAGAAAGTAAAGCCAACATAGTGGACGTCTTTTGTTTCCTGCAAAAGAGTTGGTTAGTAGAAAGACACAGAATTAAGTTCATTTGGTCAAGAGAAATTAAGCTTTAATTAATTAATTAAAAAAAGCATTAAGCTTTTCTTTCTGAAAAACCTCAGAACTAGTAAATTATTATTATTTCTTTTTTTTTACTCTTTATAAACAAAATGTATAAATTCCCTTGCCATACTGAAAAACATGATTTAAGAGTTTAGACATTTTTATTAATGATAGGTATTTAGGAGGACTAAGATTTTTGTTAAGTAGTAGTTGTCATTGGTACACATATCAGATATGAAACTGGTTTAATATACCAGTGGGAATCCATACTGTATGATTGTGAGGCTGCAAAATAAAACTTGTACAAAGAAACAAAAGCTTATCAGGAGCCATATTCTATCAACAAAGATAGGCTAATCCATCCTCTCCCATATATATTTAGCATTCTCAAAATGAATTTGAGAAATATGAAAAAATATGAAAATATTTCAAATATGAAGAACTGGCACAGATGTACACAGTTGATTTGATCTGTGATTCTACATAATTGGAATTCTCTATAGTAACTAATTTTTCCCACCCTAGTATTGACATAATGATCCATTTACTAAAAACCCTCCAGCTTCTTATAAAGTAAACAAAAATGGAGACAGAAGATGCAAAGCTACTACGGAGACAAACCGTTTCATAAGGAACACAATGAAATGAGCAAAAGTTAAAACATCGAGATTTTTGGCTTGAGATAATTGAGAACATACATTTAAACCATGTAAATAGCACTGTAAATGAAAACAGATCTGCTCTGAATGGGATTCTTTAAAAAGGATCTTTGCATGGTTCTTCCTTCACAGGACACAATACGAAAGGCAAATCTTTTGCCTGTTTATTTTGCAAGAAACATCCATTTTACTGGAATAAGTAAAAAGAACCTGAAAAGACTCACTCCAACTAGTCTGTTTTAATAAATCAACAGTAATAAATACAAAATTCTGTTCAGTATTCAGTTGAATACTTGGTGTTCACTTGTCAAGTAACTAAAGGAAATGGGGTGCATATTGCTCTAGATGCCTCTATAAAATTATGATATTTATATCAAATACATATGCTTTGATCTTTTCATGGTATTTCTGCTTAGCATTCTGCTCATTCCTTTGTTTACTGACCATCTAAACTCTTTATATACCAACAGCAGGCTGCTGTGGTTGAAGCAGGCAGCAGCTTGTTAAGTCCAACAGGTTTTGCTCAAAGAAATGATGGATGTCAGTCATGTTTTCTTACTAAAAAAAAAGTCAAAAAATGTCAATAGAGACTGTATATGTGGTCTGCTTGTTTATCTATTAGTGATATGCATTCTGAAACGTACCAGTTTACAGTACATTTCTAGATGGTTGTGCTTTTCATGATTTACCGAAGATTACTCAGGATTCTGATAATTCAGCTCAAAATTTCGTGTGTGTTTTTGTGTCTTTCTCTTATTTCAGCATAAACTGCCCTCTCAGATTAACTCTGTTAGAGTAGTAAGTGCTCTTCAGCCACAATCTAAAGTGTTTCCCTTTCTTTTTCACAGAAGACTTGAGCCCAAACATGATGTTCCTCTAATGACCTCTTACGAAGCCAACGAGTACAGTAGAAAAATAATTAAACTGTAAGCTAATTTCTCAATTTGATTCTCCCATCAGGCTCTATAAATCTCCTAGTTAAAAGGAGACAAGCAGAATATATTAAAGGACATAGCAAACTGACTGTCAAGCAAGTTGAACATTTTTTTCTCCTGCAACTGTTTGTCCAAAAGTGGATTTTTATTATTCTCTTTATTCCTGAAGGATTAAAAATCAAAAAAGCCTTGTAGTTACTAGGAAGTGTTGCAGAGACTAAAATATGTCATTATTAAGAGTGTACAAGCATAAGGCCATACTGTCAGAGGAGATTTAATTGAAGTAGGTGAAAACATATCTCAGGTACCTTCAATTTCTGTAAATTGGACCTGATAGCTTCAACTGTAGCTATTTAGGAACTAGAGTGCATTTGTGCAGCTGCTGTGCTTAATTCTGACAGAAAATATCTGTTCTTTCCACCAGGTTCCATGCCTTTGGATTCTCCCTTAATTAATGAATAAAGAAAAAGGGATCAGGTAATACCAGGAAGCTCTCAAAAAGCTCCATTAAGTATGTGGAGCACAGTACAGATCACTGGAACCCTACTGGATCCTACATCAGATTAACACAAACAGGAAATTGTTAATGTCAGGCATTTGAAATTTCATCTGATGCAAATATTAAGTCACTTTGTGACCAATACAAGAGTGCATTTCAGCTCCTTTAATCCAGGATAAATAGCACACTTCTTTGTTTAAACTCCACATTAGAGCTTTCATCCAAGTCTGTTTGCAATGGCATGCTATCCTACATGACTCACTCTGGCCTGCTTTATTTAAACTTTGCTCAGCTACAGCTAGATGAATTTATCTTGCATTTTTATGATCGTGACCTAAGGAATTTTGCAATGTTTCTCTATAAACTAATTTAAAAGTTAATATTC